TAAAATACATTTTCAGTAAAGTATTTTTTTAAAAAAGAATTTATTTGTATGTGTGGATGTTTCTCTTGCGTGCAGGGCCCACAGGGGCCTGAAGAGGGCGTTGGATCCTCTGGAACTGGAGTTAGAAATTGGTAGTTGCCATGTGGGTGCTGGAACCCCAACGCGGTTCCCCTGTGCAAGGTCAGCAAGTTCTTTTAACCGCCCAGCCACCTCTGCAGCCTCCATGTTTTTAAACAGGTTTAAACACAGGGTTTAAGAGTCGCTTAGAAAAGAATAAGACAAACCCAGGTGTGAGTACAGCCTTTTAAAGGGACATCTTGTTTTATGTTATTATATATATTGCAGAACCCCCAAAACGTTTACAATCGTAGAACCACTAGTTTACAAGCAACGCTTAGGACCATCCAAATGATCTTGTTTTAAGTTCGCTGTGCAGCAGTGGGGAAACCGTTGAGTGAGTCAGGCTATCCGTAAAATGTTGTTGTACCAGTAATAAAATGGTGCGTGTAAAATGCTTGTAATAAGGGCACACTTCCCATTACATCATGCTAAGTAACTATCAAAATTATTTCACAAATTAGAAACATTTTCTGACGTGACAGGCATTCCTTTATGCAAGGTAGCATTTATTTAATGAACTCAAGAAGTGGTTAAATAACAACATTACAAAACCTTGAATTGTTTTTGTGGGGGCCATTGTGTGCCATGAACACCCAAGTGGAGGTCAGAGGATAAATCTTAGGAGTGGGTTCTCTCCTTCCACCATATGGGTTGTGGGGATCAGACTAAGATTGTCACGCTTTACAGCAGGTGCCTTTGTCCACGGAGCCATTGCTTCAGTCACCTAGGATGTTTTTCTCTTCCAGTGTGTTTTTTCTTGTTTGGAACCATGTACCAGCAGTGCTTTGATTGCTTTGTGCTAAATGTTCATATAATTGTCAAATGATCTAGTTGTGAATAACTTTTCTTGGTAACTGATGGTTTTTGTTTTGATTTTTTTTTTTTCCGAGATAGGGTTTCTCTGTGTAGACCTGGCTGTCCTGGAACTAGCTTTGTAGACCAGGCTAGCCTCAGACTCAGAGATCCTCCTGCCTCTTTCTTCTGAGAGCTGGGATTAAAGGTGTGTGCCAGCACTTGGTAATAACTGATGCTTTTAAGCTCTCTCTCTCTTAATTCTTTTTTTTTTGTTTGTTTGTTTGTTTTTTGTTTTCCGAGACAGGGTTTCTCTGTGTAGCTTTGGAGCCTATCCTGGCACTCACTCTGGAGACCAGGCTGGTCTCGAACTCACAGAGATCCACCTGCCTCTGCCTCCCTAGTGCTGGGATTAAAGGCGTGCGCCACCTGGCCTTCTTTTTCTAATTCTTTTGAGAGGGAAAGTCTCTATGTAGCCCTGACTGAGATTCACCTGCCTCTGCGTCCTGAGTGCTGGGCTTAAAGATGTATGTCACTATGCTCAGCCCTCAATATCATTTTAAGGACTTACTTTTTAAAAAGTAAGTGTGGTGTGTGTGTGTGTGTGAGTGTGTGTGTGTGAGTGTGAGTGTGAGTGTGTGTGTGACTGTGTGTGTGTGAGTGTGTGAATGTGTGTGTGAGTGTGTGTGAGTGTGTGAGTGTGTGTGAGTGTGTGTGTGAGTGTGAGTGTGTGAGTGTGTGCTCGTGTGTGAGTGAGTGTGTGAGTGTGTGTGTGTGTGTGTGTGTGTGTGTG